TTCGATAAGTTCTATATACTTCAGTTTAGATGTTTATTGTTGATAAAAAATACCTATTAATATTATAAATATTTATTAATGTATGTTAAAAACATTCATGGTACTTGGAGATTGTTTCTAATATTTTAATGAATAATTTATTAAAACTTCATATTCCACTTAATTCAATGTATTATCCCCAATAAAATTTATTAAAACATATATATATATATAATAAAATATTTATTAATTTATTAAAACTTCATATTCCACTTTATACTAAACATATTATCATGGTACATGTCTATAATTTTTAATTTTTTAACGAATAATTTAATTAAACTTCATATACCACTTAGTTAGTGAATTAACCCCTATCAAATTTCTCTTTTCTTGAGAAAGGGGAACACTTAAGGTCTCAATCCTTTTTCATCTTCATACTATGTCAGTATATGATACAACTATGCATTAAAACAAAAATCAAAAAAATTTCAAATTTATCTTGAATTGTGTGGGTTAAACTCTACGAAAAGATCGAGTTTTTCGCTAAATTCTATATACTTCAGTTTAATATTTTTATTGTTGATAAAAAATACCTAGTAATATTATAAATCTTTATTAATGTATGTTAAAAACATTCATGGTACTTGGAGATTGTTTTTAATATTTTAATGAATAATTTATTAAAACTTCATATTCCACTTAATTCAGTGAATTATCCCCAATAAAATTGTATATAAAAAAAAACAAATGGGATCAATCAAGGTCTCAAATTTCTTTATTCTTTATCATATGTCAATTCATAATTAATTTTTGAATAAAAAAATTACCATATTTTCTTATTTAACTTACAAAAAGATAAAGTATTTTTCAATAGATGATATATATATATATATATATATATATATATATATATTAGATTTTAGCTTCTTTAGTGTTGTTTTAAAAATATTTAAACACGCTCTAAATTTATATTAATGTATACTAAACATATTATCATGGTACATGTCTCTAATTTTTAATTTTCCAACGAGTAATTTAATTAAACTTCATATACCACTTAGTTAGTGGACTAACCCCTATCAAATTTCTCTTTTCTTGAGAACGGGGAACACTTAAGGTCTCAAACCTTTTTCATCTTCATACTATGTCAGTGTATGATGCAACTATGCATAAAAAAAAATCAAAAAAATTTCAAATTTATCTTTTTTATGACTTGTTTGACTTTTGGCGTATTGATTTGTAGTGCTTTTCAAGGAGGATCATAGTCAACCACATATTTGGTCTTTTGATCAGACCCACTACAAGTCAATGCTTCTTATGTACAAGAACATGGTACTCCTCAAAAACCACCAGCTATAAGCAGAGCCGGCCCATACTCACCTGAGAGGCCCCATTCGAATTCAAAAAAATGAGTATTTTTCTTTTTAGAAAAAGAAAAAAAAATAGTTTAAGCCTAAAATGGCCACCAAAAATTTTGGATACTAAGCAATGGTTTCCTTTGCCTATACCCTAGGCCGGGGTTGACTATAAGTTATATATGAACATGTTTTTGACAAATTGACAACTTTTTTATTCTTTTTTTTCAGCCATGGAGGATGTGGTTGGTTGGTACAGCACATGCCCTATACTTCAAGAGAATGATTTGGATGTTCATGCTATGTTCAGAGGGTTAGTTTCTATCTCAATCATTCTTATGTTTTGTTGGCTGGTCTGAAGAAGCTTCATTTTACTTCTGCAGCTATGTTCCCGATCCATTGTTCCTCACTATTGACGTCCTGAGTATAGAAACTCCCACAGTGGCTTACGTTGCAGTGAACGAGGTCAATGAGGTGAGAAGCAGCAAGGAAGCCTTCTTCCGTGTGTGTACAGAAATTGCTCCTCCTGAAGTCGACGAGTTCGGTACCTCAACTAGGAGTACCCTTGTCACAGAGGTTTGGTTTCTGTCTTTACAATACTTTGCATTATCATCCTTTTTTTTTTATAACTTCTTAGCTGTTTTTTCTTTATGTTTTATCAGATGCCTACAGTTAGAGACTTGCCGGATATGATCGAATCTCATTACTTGTTTGTCAAAAACAAGTAAGATTCTTTTTCTTTTGAATTTCTTATAACTATATTTAAAATTATATCTGTACTGAACTTGCTTTTTTTTTCTTGATGATTTAGAGTTCGGATTAGCGTTGAGGGATATGACCTTTCGCTTCATCCTTATGATCTAGACAGATCACTGGTAGAACATTTTGGATCCTGTGGAACGGTGGAGTACGTTGAAGTGCCCAGAGATCCTGTAACCAATGCAATTAGCAAGAGGTTTGTGTCTTTTTCTTTCTTTTTTTTTTTGTTTCAAGTTAATTATTTCCTTCCTAACAAAGTGTTTTTGCTTATGATTGTAGACATACTACTGTGATTCTCCGCGGAGAAGGTGCAGAAGAGAAAGCACTGGCACTCAATGGAATTGACGTGGGAGGATGGAGAGTATCCGTCAAGGTTTTACCGCCAGCGATGAGTGAGCTGAGTTCTGGGTTGAGTCCTCGCGAATTGGCGCTTCAATACGTCGCCCCCAACCAGTTTAATGTTTATAATTAACTATTAGGGTTGTTTAATGTTTTTTCTTTGAGAAAAAAGATTGATTAATGTTTATTGCATTTGTTACACTTGGAAGTTTTAGTAATCCCAATTGCATGATACAGTATCTGATTATCAACCCACAGTTCCAATATAAACATATATTGGTTAGATTTCCGCCTAACTTCTTGGTTCAACTTTTTTTTTCCTTGGTTCAAATTAGCATACACATACATGTTCGTCCCTTTTTTTTAACACCACACATGTTGGACCTTTTTCAACCTTTTTCAAATTCCAAGTTCAATTACCATTTTTCTCAAAAAAAGTTCAGTTACCATTACGGTTCAAACTTGCCGTCTCTAATCGGGATCGCTACCAAAACGCAACTAACAATAAAAAGCAAATGCAACTAATAGTTTCTCTGTCTAACCCGGCCCAGGGGAATGACCCACAAAGTGGAGAAGCCCTTGATTATCAAAAAAAAAAAAAAAAACTAACAGTTTCTCTGAACTCATCGTTGCCCTTTCTTCCACTTCCACGTAGCTGTGACATTGCATAAGTAGAGCTTGGATCAAACGTTAAGATCTATAAGAAACTTCACACACTAATCTAAAGGTTTGTAACATTGTTTATTGATATTTAAGAAAAGAAAAAAAAAATGTTTATTGATGAAATAACCAATAAAGCAGCAATAAAACAGCTAAAAAACAACGAATAGTAAAACTAAGACCCGTGTTCCGTTTCGCTGCACCTCTCTCGTTACAGCTCACGTGTATGGAGTGTATCTGGACGGACAGACATAGTATATACACTCTAATGTTAACAATACAGGTCTGACAGGTGGTAATTATAGTCATGTGTTCAGTGTACCTGGACGGAAGTATATAGGATATACACGTTCTGACGTTCTCGATCTTTAACGCTAACTAACACGTGATATTTATAGTTCATGTATATATGGAGTGTATCTGGACGGAAGTAAACAGTATATACAGTCTAATATTGTCTTTAATGATAACTATACATGTGGTATTTATAGATCGTGTATCTGGACGGGAGTACATAGTATATACACTCTAGGGTTAACTATACAGGTGGTATATATAGTTCATGTATGGAGTGCATCTGAACGCAAATACATAATCTCAAATTATCTCTCAAGCAAAAAAATTATATATTCTTTACAAGACACTTCGCCATGAATCTTTCTCAAATCACTCAATGGAACGTCACCAGCAACAAATGGATAGTAAGATAACGACTGAGATTCTACCTGCTAAGCAGTTCTACAGAGCAGAGGAGTATCATCAGCGGTACCTGTCAAAGGGTGGGCAGTCCTGTGGCATAGCTTGCAACAGTCCACTCATGTGCAGCGCTGCTACAGCTTAAAAATGCTGAGTTTCCTCTGCTTATCTCCCTAAACAGAGGATGTTAGAGAATTGTTTGTTGCCAAATCCCTAATAAGTGTAACAAGTTACTTTCGTTTTCCATTGTTATTGTTTAGAAAATTAATTGTTGATGTTCTTGAATAATTGAATTTAAAAGTCTTGAACGAATCTTATGAATAAAAAAATTATGATGGATATGGTTTCCTTATTGCCATTTGCGCATACTTTTCTAATGATTTTCTAGCTTTACCACATAATTAAACGTGACTTTTTGGAATTAGTTAATCAGGCATAGTAATCATGTTCTTGAGTTATTGAATTTTATAGTCTTGAGCGAGTCTTATTGATAAAAAAAAGTATGATGGATATGGTTTTCTTATTGCCATTTGCGCATACTTTTCTAATGATTTTCTAGCTTTACCCCATAAATAAACGTGACTTTTTGAATTAGATAATCATGCATAGTAATAATGTTCTTGAGTTATTGAATTTTATAGTCTTGAGCGAGTCTTATTGATAAAAAAAAGTATGATGGATATGGTTTTCTTATTGCCATTTGCGCATACTTTTCTAATGATTTTCTAGCTTTACCCCATAAATAAACGTGACTTTTTGAATTGGATAATCATGCATAGTAAATATTAGTAATCATGTTCTTGAGTTGTTGAATTTTAAAGTCTTGAATGAATCTTATGAATAAAAAAATATGATGGATATGGTTTTCTTATCGCCATTTGCGCATACTTTTCTAATGATTTTCTAGTTTACAACATAATTAAAAGTGACAGTTTGAATTAGATAATCACGCATAGTAATCATGGTGGTTGGAGTTGTTTTTATATTCTATAGACATCTTATAAATAATACAATTCAGCAAAATAATATGTATGTTTCTTGTGTGTGAGTAATACTAATTAAGCTATTTAGCGTTTTAAATAGGTGTCAATCTCTGACTGATTTTTCTATATAAACTGATCTTCCTTGTTTCACCATCATCAACAATACACACTTCAAAACACATCACCAAACTCATCCTTTCTTGCTCATATCAATCGATCTACCAAAATGGTTTCTTCTACAGCTCAAGAAGAGTCTAACTTATCAGATACACATGCAACTGATCCTTCTCCTATAACTCAAGAAGAGTCAAAGTCAGTAGAAACACCTGAGATTGTTCCCTCTCCAATAGCACAAGAGCCAGACAACGATGTGCCGGCACCAGGAAACCAGTTTGCTGAGTTCGCAGCCGGATGTTTCTGGGGACTAGAGCTTGCTTTCCAGAGAATCCCTGGCATAACCGTGACCGAGTCAGGGTACACTCATGGAATCTCACACAATCCTACCTACGAGGTTGTCTGCACGAACAAAACGAACCATGCAGAGGTTGTAAGGGTTCAGTATGATCCTAATGAATGCAGCTACGAGACACTGCTTGATTTGTTCTGGTCTAGGCATGATCCCACCACCTTAAATCGTCAGGTATTGGTCGGTACTTCTTGACTTTTCTTTAAATCATTATCTCACCGTTCTTGAATGTTGGCAGGGAGAGCTTGTGGGAGCTCAATACCGATCAGGGGTATACTTCTACACAGCAGAGCAAGAGAAACTAGCACGTGAGTCTCTAGAGAATCAGCAGAAAAAGCTTGAGAGTAAGATTGTGACTGAGATCTTGCCGGCAAAGAAGTTTTACAAAGCTGAAGAATACCATCAGCATTACCTCGCTAAAGGTGGTATGTATGGCAATGCACAGTCTCCTGCAAAGAGCTGCAAGGACCCTATCCGCTGCTATGGCTAAGTATAAAGCCTTTGTAACTTTTTTCATCCCAAAACAGAGGAGTGTTCTCTGTTTATATGTTTGTATGTGTGTGTTGTTGATTTGTAATTCTCAGTTCATAATAAAGATGTGGAAATGTGGTAACTTTAAAAAAAAACTTCAAAATGAATACAGAAGATCAATAATATCTTTTATTTTATTCTGTTAGTTATTCAATTCATTTGAATGATTTACAGTAACAATGAAACAGAAAAAAAAACAGAGAAAAACAGAGAAGTGTTTGTGTATGTGTGTGTTGTTGATTTATAATTCCCAGTTCATAATAAAGATGTTGAAATGTTACAACTTAAAAAAAAAAACTTCAAAATGAATACAGAACACAGAAGATCAATAATATCTTTTATTTTATTCTGTTAATTATTCAATTCATTTGAATGATATTCAGTAACAATGAAACACAAAAAAAAAAAAAACAGGGGAAAAACAGAGGAATAAACAGAGTAAATGAGAGGAAAATTTTGAATAGGACTAAGCTTCCCAACCACGCAACTGGGTGGCTCGAGCGACACGGTTAACTCCAAGAGTGAAAGCACCCATACGGAGGTTGCAGGAATGAGTATGACACATAGTCTTGATGTTGTGAAAGGCTCGAGTCATGTACTTTTGAAGCTCCAAGTTCACTTTCTCCTCTTCCCACATAAAACCTTGAATGTTCTGCACCCACTCAAAGTAACTCACCGTCACTCCTCCTGCGTTTGCGTATATATCTGGTAGTATTATCACTCCTTTCTTCGACAGAATCTGCCAATAACCCAAAACATATTTAGGATTTCACTATAACAGGGTTTTATCTATGCTGCTGGTGCATTACCTCATCAGCATCTGGATCAGTTGGATGGTTAGCTGCCTCTACTATGAACTTTGCCTTCACATCTCCAGCGTTTTCCCTAACCAAAAATATCAAAAAAAGAATCAAAAACCTGAATCTCTATGATCTGATGATTGATAAAGCTTATGTTCATACTTGTTCAGGACACCACCAAGAGCACAAGGAATGAGAACATCACACTCATGAAGCAAAAGTTCCTCCGTGTCCATAGCGTCTCCACCAGTGAAATCAACGAGACTTCCCGTTGCGTCCTTGTGTCTCAGAAGAGCGTTGATGTCAATACCTTCAGGGTTCCTGACAGCACCTGTAATGTCACTCACCGCAACCACTTTTCCTCCTTTCTCATGGATCAACTTAGCTGCCCATGTTCCAACATTCCCAAAACCCTGTCACACACACACACACCAACAACCAAATCTCTCAACTTCTCCTTCTCATTCTCAAGATAAAACAACATTAATAATCTTTACCTGAACAACAAATGTCAATCCCTGAATCGATTTGCCGTACTCAGCAAGTAGAGCTTCAGTGGCGTAGACCACACCACGTCCTGTAGCAGCTTCCCTACCAAGTGATCCACCAAGATCCTACATACAAAGAGACCAAAACACTCACACACAAAATAAGCCAACCACAGTCATAATGCAAGAGCCTTTCTTACAATGGGTTTTCCAGTGACAACAGCAGGGGAATGACCATGAAACTTAGAGTACTCATCAAGAATCCAAGCCATGGTCTGAGCATTAGTCCCCATATCAGGAGCAGGGACATCAGTATGAATACCGATTAAATCATGAATCTTCTGTGTAAAGACACGTGTAAGACGCTCAAGCTCGCTCAAACTCAAGTCACGAGGGTTGCATCCAATCCCACCTTTAGCTCCACCGTACGGAATGTCTGCAACAGCTGTCTTCCACGTCATCAACTGAGCTAATGCGTTCACTTCATCTGGATCAACCTTCAAAAACACAAAAAAAAAAAAAAAAAAAATCAAAACTTCAAAAAAAAAAAAATCAAAATCAAAACTTCACCCTAAATTCGATCCAAGGGACAAATAAAAATCAAAACTTTTTAAAAAAAAATTAATAAAAATCAAAACTTTACCCTAAATTCGATCCAAGGGACAAATAAAAATCAAAACTTCAAAAAAAAAATTAATAAAAATCAAAACTTTAGAAATACCCAATTCCAAAAAACCCTAAGATTAAAAAAAAAAAAGAGAGACTTTAAGCAACCTCGGGGTGATATCTGATTCCACCTTTCATGGGTCCACGAGAATTGTCATGTTGAACCCTAAATCCGATGTAAGAGACGAGGGTACCATCGTCTTTTGGGATCGTGCACTCTACTTTGATCTCTCTGAAAGGGATCATGAGACTCTTCTCGATCTTCGAATCCAAGCCAAGGATTCGAGATGCGTGACGGAAGTTTCTGTTTGTTGCGGCTAAAGCATTCATGGCTCAATGGAGTTTTTTTTTTTTTTTTAGAATTTGAGATTGAGATGAGAGGAGGAAGAAGAAGAGAAGAAAGGAAGTGTATTTGTAGGAAGGGGGAAGGAAGAACGGAGAAAGCGTTAGTTTTTTTGAATGGATACGAAAGAGAAACTCTCTTATTTGTGAAAATGACTCTTTTGTCCTTTAGTATCTAATTTGGCTATAATTTTATTTGCCTTCTTTTAGCTTTCGTCTCTATCTTTTAATTTCTTCCTAACTTTTTGGGCTTTTTAAAGTCAAATCAAATATCAAAACGTCAGTGATATATATCCCTGCATTTTCCTCCAAAAAAATTGCGTGACACAAAATAATTGAGAAAAAAGAAATGACTGATTGACAAAAAAAATGACTAAAAATACATTTAAAATCTCGATGGAATTTATTCGTTTTTAGTTTATACATATAAATTCTTACAATATTATTTAGTAAAGCAAAATAAAATAATAACTTTTTATTTTTTCAATTCTATATATAAAATAGAAAATATATATTGCTAGACAACTAAAAGTACATATTTTGTAATTAAATTTTTCTTATATATATATATATATTTTTACGTAAATGAATGCAGGACTACTTCAGAGGTAGTTTATTCATATTATGTAGATTTGTCTTTTATTCATTATTTTCCTTATATTCTGATTATAAATAGTCATATTATTCTATGTACATGATTATTCCCTAAAATGATGAATAAATTTGAAATTTCATCAAAAAAGATTTGCTTCTTAATACTCCCAAAAAGGTTGGAAATGGGGCAAGAATATGTAGTTGATTTGTATTTGCTGTCCTTTTACTTTTGGTTAAACATACTGAACTAGGGAAGGTGTTTCATTTTTCTTGTTTGGTTAACAACTAGGGAAGGCGTTATTTATACTTTCATCAAAGTCACAACCATTTTTATGACTAATTGGTCTCCCTAAGAGCAGATCAATATGACTTTTGTTTCCTTTTTCTTACAAAAGTTGTCTTCTATGGCTTATACGACATTTAATGATATTTAATTGTAGAATTGATTTACGAAGTTGTGGATAGACATCTTACATATATACATAAGGTCCACGTTAGAAAAATAATAATATGCATCTAGTACAATGGATCCCCCTAACTATTCATATGTCAATAATTGATATACCATCATCTAGATAAAAGATAATGAAGAGATATAAATTATACCCGACTCATGGAAGTCATAATATAACAAATATAAAAATGTATATTTTCTGGTGAAAGAATAAGAAAATCCTGAAATCCGATAATACCATACTATTACGAAAGAATTATTATAAAAGGGCATTTAGGAACATCTCGCCAAATTTGGTGAGTCTAATAATGGCATTTGGCGAAATTACAGATAATTAATCCGAATATACTAGTAGTATATAGAATATGACGAACATAAAAATTATAAATTTCAAAATTATCAAAATTATATATTTATTTGAAGAAAACGTGAAACAACTAAAAATTGACCGTCAAATTTTATCATGTGGAAGATGCGGGAAACAAGGAGTGAATCGTCATAAGGACGCGATTCCTGCGAACGTGACAATGTTGCACTATAAAATGCTTCTAAACAGTGTGAGAGCCGATAAAAAATGGATGGTCTGAAATCGTTGGAACAAGATTCGGAAACAGAGTCAGACCCAACTCCCAAGTACACACACGTTGCAGAAGTTGCTATCCTTTGTTACTTTTTCATTGGATGGTGACTCGTTGCTTACCTGGGTCTGTCGTCCCTATCCTAATTTTTATATTCCCTATTTTACTTTTGAACTTGTGTCAATTTTAATGCATGAATCTCTGCGTGGTTAATCGTATAAGCAAACTCTGCTACCCTATATTAGTCTATATACTACAAGGAGATCAAAACATAACATTTACAACTAGAATTACAGAAATTTAAAATGATGAACCAAGTACACATAATATATGACTATATTAATACATGCTGTAAAAAATCATGTTCTCATAGAAATATATCACGTGAACAGATTGTTAAACTCACTTTTTACGTCAAACATATCATGAACCCAAATGGTGAGGTGTGTGTCTGTGCGAACATAATTTACTTAATTAGTTTGATAAATTATTATAATTACAACATGTTTTACAAAAATTATCGTTTCAAAACATTACTCATTTACGTATATATCATAGGTTTATAGGATTTTGTAGATAAATACCGAATAACACCACAAACTTCCGGATCATAATCTGAAACTAGAACGATATAATTGAATTGAATAGTTTCATATATATCAAGTAATACCAAAAAAATGAATATAAGATGGGAACGTTTCACTGATTTAACGATTAAGGACTGTTACATTAATCAATATTTTTATCTTTAGAAAATTTTCAGTATTTAGGAGGAGGAAGTAGCCAAGTGGAACCCTTGATGTAACCAAGAGTGAGGAAAGGCCTAACTTCGTTTTGGTCAACATCTTGTGTGTAAGGCACTCTCTTCTCTTGGTGTGACCCTGGTCCGAAACACTTGTACTCTCCATAGAAGACCGTCCTGCATTTATACAATATGATAATTGAATTTACTACATGTAAATTGTAATTGACATATATTATACAAGTAGATGAAATGTTATGAAATGTTACTTGTCATATGCGCGTTGGAAGTTTTCCCTCCAGCCAGATGGATTGACCACGCTACTCATCTCTGTAAAAGCATAGATAACTTTTGGATGGCTCATCCAAGACCGGCCCAAATAAATTCCGGTTCCGGTTCCAGTGATTTTGCAGTGCACGAACGTGTATCCGTTTTGCTCGGTATCACTTTGTCTAGCTTGTGCGGTGATCACTCTTAATCCGTCTCCAACAGCGTGCAATTGCGTGTTGATGGAGAGCGGAAGCTATAAACCTAACTTGTAAGTGAAGTAACGATAGAAGGGGCGCGAATACTCTTCGCAGTGTTCGTTAGAACTCTTTAGGGTGGCGAATACTCTTCGCAGTGTTCTTGAGAGAACTCTTTAAAACTGAAATCTTTATTAATCTGAAAAGTTGTATCTCATCTCTTGATGAGGATCCTTATTTATNTCTAAGAAAAGGAAACAAAGAAAAGTAAATAACGCTAAGTGTTTGAGGTGTTGTGATCGCTAGAGATCACAACTGGCGCTGCATCAGGTCCCCCCGGCTGAGAAGGATTCGACCACGAATCCGGATCGTCGTTAGTACCATGGTAGGGAAAGAGATGCTTGACATTGAACACGTCTGCGGTGCGTATATTAGGAGGCAGACGAACTCGGTAGGCATTGGGGTTGATACGTTCAAGTATCTCAACTGGGCCGATCTTGCGAGATTTGAGCTTATTGTACTCACCGACGGGAAGTCGATCCTTAGTCAAAATGACCCAAACAAAATCCCCGGGAGAGAAGAGCAACTCACGTCGTTTCTTATCAGCGGCAGCTTTGTATGCAGAAGCCGAAGTGAGTAAATGAGAGTGAGCGAGTTGGTGAATACCTTGAATGCTGGAAACAAAATCCACTGCCTCACCATGAGCTCGCGTCTTGTCCGGGAGGGTAGTGAGATCGAGAGGTCCCCGTGGTAAGATGCCGTAGACGACCTGGAAAGGACAATAACCCAAACTCCGGTTGAACGCACGATTATGTGCAAACTCCGCCTGGCCAAGTTTGGCATCCCAAGACTTAATATTGTCACCTACTAAGCACCGAAGTAAATTCCCAAGAGAACGATTTGTGACCTCTGTTTGCCCATCTGATTGCGGATGATACGCAGTACTCATATCCAAACTTGTACCCAAAAGCTTCCACAACGAACGCCAAAAGTGACTAAGAAACCTCGTATCGCGGTCAGACACAATGGACGTTGGAAGACCATGAAGACGGTAAACTTCCTGGAAGAATAACACAGCCACACGAACAGCATCGGTAGACTTCTTACATGGAATAAAATGAGCCATTTTAGAGAACCGATCGACAACCACGAAAATTGAATCGTTCCCCTTTTGCGTGCGCGGAAGTCCCAACACAAAATCCATACTGACGTCCGTCCATGGCTGAGTTGGAACGGGTAACGGAAGGTATAGTCCCGCATTTGAAGCCTGGCCTTTGGACAGTTGACATATCCGACATCGCTCAACAAATCGTTGGACATCGCGACGCATGGAGGGCCAAAAATAAGACGTAGTAGCTAACTGAAGTGTTCGATCACGACCGATATGACCCTCATGATGCAACTCTTTGATAATATGTAAGCGAAGGCTGGAGTCCGGGACACAAAGACGCAAACCTTTAAAGAGGAAACCATCTTGTAATGTGTAATCGGCAGAAAGGCCAGCCTGAGCTTCATCAAATATACGTTTGAAGAAAGCATCCTGAGTATAAAGCTCAGCCATTGCCGCGAAGCCAGGAACCGTAGCATGGATGGAGGAGACGAGGCTGTGACGACGGCTTAAGGCGTCGGCGACGCGGTTTGTCTTTCCGGATTGGTGACGGATGGAGAATGTGAACTGCTGCAAATACGCAATCCAAGAGGCATGTCGAGACGAGACCTTGGCTTGACTATCGAGATGGCGCAAGGCATCATGATCAGTGAACAAAATGAACTCGCGGTGAACCAAATAGTGGCGCCAATGCTTGATTGCCTGAACGATTGCATAGAACTCGATGTCATAGGTGCTGTAACGGGAACGAGCGCCGGCCAGTTTCTCGCTGTAATAAGCGACAGGTCGGCCTTGTTGACTGAGAACTGCCCCAATGCCGAGTTTAGAAGCATCACTATGAAGCTCGAATGTTGCAGAAAAGTCAGGTAAAACGAGGATTGGAGCGGTCGTGAGCTTGAGTTTGATAAGTTCAAAAGCTGCAGTCGCCTCTGGTGTCCATTGAAACTTGCCATCCTTCATGCAGCTTGTGATCGGTGCCATAATAGAACTAAAGTGATGAACAAAACGCCGATAGAATGATGCTAATCCGTGAAAGCTACGGACCTCAGAGACCGTTTTAGGTAGTGGCCATGATCGCACAGCTTCTACTTTGCCTTGATCCATCGACAAACCGGAGGAGGAGACGACGTATCCGAGAAAAAGGACCTCGGAAACACCGAACTCACATTTTTGCTGTGCTGCAAAAAGTTTTTCTTGCCGCAGAACGCGTAAGACCTCGCGAATGTGGGAGACATGTTCCGCCATTGATGAACTGAAAATAAGGATGTCGTCAAAGTAAACAACAACAAATTTCCCAATGAACGGGCGCAGGGACTGGTTCATGATGCGCATGAATGTACTTGGAGCGTTGGAAAGACCGAAGGGCATAACAAGCCACTCGAACAAACCTTCACGTGTCTTAAAAGCTGTTTTCCATTCATCACCGGGCTTGATCCGGATCTGATGATAACCACTTTTGAGATCAATTTTGGAGAAGATGGACGCTGCGCCTATTTGATCCAACAAGTCGTCTAGGCGGGGAATAGGAAATCGATAACGAACCGTAATTTTATTGATGGCGCGGCTGTCTACGCACATACGCCATGTGCCGTCTTTCTTGGGAATAAGAAGCGCCGGGACCGCGCAAGGAGACAGACTTTCGCGGATATGGCCTTTGCGGAGGAGATCTTCAACTTGGCGGCGGAGTTCTTCATGTTCATCAGGACTCATTCGATAATGAGGGCGGTTAGGAAGAGTTGCGCCGGGAACTAAATCAATCTGATGTTGAATATCACGCAACGGTGGTAATCCAGTCGGCAGTTCCTGAGGAAAGACATCGGCGAATTCGTCCAAAGCAGTGGCGATGTCCTTGTGAATTGCGGAGGTGGGAAGGTGAGTTGCCGGAGACTGGAGGAGAGCAAAAACGCGACCTTCTGTTTGTAACTCCGAGCGAAAGGTCTCATAAGAACAAAGTAATGAAACTTGTTTGGACGGAGTGATTGGCGTAGTGACTACTGGGGCTGACGGAATTGGTAACATCGGATCTTTTGACGGGATGAGAAGTATTTTATGCGCCTCCCACGTGAACTGATATGTATTATCGGCACCGTAATGAATGATTTTCCGATCATATTCCCAAGGGCGGCCCAAGAGTAGATGACTGATATCCATAGCAGCGATATCACAATAGATACGATCCTTATAATAAGGGCCTATCGAAAACGAGATCAGTGCTCGATGAGTAATGCGCACTTTAGTTCCTTCGTGAAGCCATCCGAGAGAATAAGGTGCTGGGTGAGGTTCGCGTGCTATGCCGAGTTTATCAATGGCGTATTCAGAAATAACGTTCCTGCTACTGCCGGAATCAATCACAAAACTGCAGACGCGATCCTTGATTGTACAAGTGGAACGAAAAATATTCGTTCGAAGCCACTTATCATCGTTCTTACGTGGGGTGAGACAAGTGCGATGAAGAACAAGGAGGTGTCCTTGATCACCGGTTGTGGGCTGGAGATTATCATCGGCATCGTCGTCCTCGGCCTGAGAATCATAGACATCTTCGATTGTATCATCAACAAGGAGTCCTCGACGAGTTGCGTGTGGGCAAGCCGTTTGACGGTGACCTTGCTCGCCGCAGGAGAAACAACGGAGAGCGTTTGGCCTCGTTGATCGACGGAGCTGTTGTTCTTCGGGGTTGGTAGGTTTCGGAGTCGATGCTGTGGTATCACTTGTTTCTTTTGCTGCCGATGTACTTGATCCTGCTTGGTCTTGCGTACGAGCTCTATTTGACGATTGTGACCAATTAGAAGAACGAGACTGTTGTTCAAACGATGCTGCGCGTCGATGAGCTTCGCTGATTGTCGATGGGTCGAACTGAGCCATTGCAGTTTGCAGTTGTGGGCGTAGTCCGCCAATGAAACGAGATACGAGTTGAACTTGACTGTCGTTGATCTCATTACGTGTAAGTAACAAAGCAAATTCCTCTGCGTATTCGTCCACACTCCGATTACCCTGCCGAAGGTTCTGTAGCTTGGTATATAACGTACGCTCATAATTATGTGGCAAAAACGTCTGTCGGAGATGCTTAGTGAGTTTCTCCCAAGACTGAATTGGAGATTTGCCGGTGCGTGAGCGAGTGGTCTTGAGTTGTTTCCACCAAGTTGCTGCATGACCCCTAAATCGCATAGCGACCAAGGGTACACGACGGTTTGGCGGAACTTGTTTGAAGTCAAGAATTTCCTCAACCGAAATTAACCAATCAACAAGATCGTCACCGCGAAGACCACCATGGAATTCGGGAATATCGACTTTGA